AGCAAGCGCCCGGGCACCTGCCGCCCTCCCCCTCCACCCTCAGACGCGCAACCCCTTCTCCAGGCTCGCGCAACCCCGGCTTCTCATTCCCCTTCCTTTGGAGACTTCCACCCTTTGAGCCTTAGTGCAATGACTTGCCTAATATCTCGGTCCCACGGGATAAAAGCTCCAGGACACAGAGACAGTGGCAGTCCCAGGAGCTGGCCTAGGGGGCGTGGAGCCCAGCCTTGAACTCCCCTAGGGCAGTCACCACCGTTAACTACAGTGAGGTGTCCTGGAAACACGCGCCCCCCTCCACCTCCCCGCTGCAGCCAGGAGAGGAGGAGCCATGGCGGAGCCGGCCCACTGTGGTAGCCGCCAGGTGCAGGGCCCCAGGCCAGACGTGGTGTCCACCAGGCCTCGGGGTTCATCCCTGGAGGCACCCTGGCTCTCTTGGTTCCTGTGCACATATCTTACTACATAGGAGGCACGTTGATTGTTCTGTCAGGGCTGGGGAGCCTGATGTAGACAAGGACATAGAACAGCATTGGGCGCCTGTCACAGGAGTTTGGACATATTAAAATGCCCTGGCTTGGTTGATGGAACACTGGTATCTGCCTCCAGTGGAGAAGTTTAAGGAAAAATGATTGTTTAAAACAGGAAATAACAGGACATAAGAGGCATGCCCTGAAGGGAACCTTGACAATAGTGTCAGAGCACTCCAGAGCAGGGTCCTTCCTGGAAGGCCTCCCCCGTGGCTTGCTGCCCCTGCACCAGCCTGCCCCCAGGGCCTGCCCGGGCCTCACTCACTTTCCTTCAGGCCCTGGAGGGCATTGATGTAGTTGAAGCCAAGGTACAGCTCAGAATCTATATTTGAGGGGATCCTCGAAAACCCAAGGGCGGAGTCTTTGAACAGCAGATCCTTCTCCCCTTCAGGGGAGCCGAAGAGCTGGAATGAAGATGACTTGTCTTTTCCAAACTTTTCCTAATTTGGGAAAAATTAGAATTACAGTCTCAGTGGTAAATAGAGAGGAAAGAAAAAACACAATGTTGAAAAACAATTATCTGGAGCTGGGGGATGATTCTGAGAGCGGGAGCCTTAGTTCACTTCCTCCCGTGCAGGGAGCCAGGCGCCATCCCTGTGACAGGAGCTCAGCTGTGGCTTATTCCTTAGAAAGCTGCTAGGGTCCAAGCACCTTAGGGTCCTGAGAATACGACCTCATCCTCCCTCTGCTTCTGCTCCAGCTCACGAGGCACCGTTCATCAGTAATGCTGGAGAGATCTTTATTGTTTCTGCTGTCCAGAGCACAGCCGAGTTAGGGAGTTCACGGAATTTCTTAACTTTTGTGCAGAGAGGCTGCAGAGCGACTTCTGGAGCAGCAGGAGATTAGGGAAGGAAGGAATCTCCCGACACCAATCCAAGC